TGAGTTGTCAAGGTATATGTCGGCCACGGGAGGTTTGATGACCGATTCCCTGATGATGGAGACGCTGAAGATGGTACCTTCAAACTCGCAGGTATTTTCAATAGAAACGTTTTTAATGGAGGCGTTGCTTGTGGGAAAGTTGTTGATGGACGCATTGCCAATGGAGGTATTAGAGATGAGTGGCTTCGTAATGTTTGCTTTGACGTTTCAATCCTTGCTGTTGGAAGTAGCTGGGATAATGGTTTTCATCTGGGGAGTATTAATGATGGAAGCTTTTGAGCTGGAGCCATTTGCAATAGGTGTGATGTTCAATCTACTGGTCATCTTCTTAAAGAAGATACAGTTCACAGTGAAAAACGAGGTATTCGAGATTGTTTATGAGTTAGTATCTCAATACTGGGAAAGATAGATACTTTGAAAGTGTTATTTATTAAAGAGAATCAAAACAGTATTGTTTATATTTATTAATTTTTTTTTGTATTCTTTATTGGTTGTTGCCGACGCGCTTGCGCGCGGCTAATAAAAAGGAGATGAATGTGACATTTAGAGATGAGAGCTTGTCTCTGGTTTGTGTGTGTGTGGGGGGGGGGAGGGGGGATAGTGAGTGATTTTTACAGGAAATCAATGGGCGGAGAACATAATGTTGAAAAAACAAAAAAAAGAAAGGAAATTAATGAATTTATGCGATGTGTGGTGTCCTCATTGCCAAATTACGGGCCACTGCACTCGACGCTTTTTCCGCAACCACGCCAGCCAAGAAGGGAGATTCGTCGAAGATGAAGTTCCAATGAGCACGCCAAATTGCGTGTGCCGTGACGGCGACAAGTACCACAAGCAGGGCAGACGTATCGGAGCGCTTCGGCAATTTACCCAAAAAAAGGATGTCGTTAGCCGCCTGCAGATTCCATTCTGGTGCATGGCGAGCCAACATGATATTGCAAACACGGGATTTTGGCGGACAGGAAAAGAAAAAGTGTATGGGGTCCTCTACGGGGGCAGAACACAGCTGACAAACAGTGGACGACACCGTAGTGGGGATGATATAGTGGAGGCGGGCATGGGTCGGAACGCAGTTTCACAATGCTTTCCACCAAACGTTCCGACAGTGGTGTGGGATGGTTTGACGCCAGAAACTCTTCCAGCAGGCAGGGGTCAAATTGGTGGTCTTCACCGGAGGAGCCATATGCCTTCGAAAAGCGCCCGTAGTAACTTGGGCTAGACTTTTGTTATCGATATGGACCATATGTAGAAACGAGGTTAGATCATGTGAGGCGGGGGAGGAGGGCAGAGATATCATGCAGTCCTGGAACCATGGATGTAGCTGCAGGTGTCTAGAATCGATAGCCTGGAAAAAGTGCTGTATCCGGTTTCGAGCCTTAAGGAGGTCATGATATGGACGTCTGAGAATCACATTGTCCTGGGATAGTTTGAAAGCATCCAAAACCTTGACACCTTTCAGCACTGGGGCCTCATCGGTGGTATCGGTGGTATGGAATATAGCACCAAGGGGAAAGTGGAGCACCAAACTAGAGGGGAAGGACATTCCGTGCGGCATGACCGCAGGCCAAATCTGTGAGCAGGCGCGATGAAGAGGGATCAATGACGATGGGCAGGAGGCAGCGGGGCCAGGGAACAGGACACCAAGGCTAGCCGAGACGGACTGGAAATTTAGAGA